CCCATAATTATCCGAAAGACGTTGAGGCAGCATTGCCCGGGGAAGAGACGGAAGCGAGACAGGAACTGAAGAAGCAGGGGGGGTAAAGGAAACCTAATGCCACCCTCTATGATGGCCTTGGTATAGAAAGGCATGGCATCCGTGGCCCCGAAGGTAGGAGAGTTCAACAAAGGGTTAAAACCCACTACGTCCACGCTCGGGGGGATGCCATACTTCGCCCTGAACCTATCGATCTGTGCCTCGCCCGTCACCTTGTATTTCCCTGACCCCGAGGGACCAGCCGATGGATTCTCGGGAACAGGGCGACGACGAGGCATCTCTAAAAGAGGGAAGGAAAAGATGTTCACTTGAAAACCTGAGGAAGTTCCCCGAGGGTTTAAATCAAGACGTACCGACCGGATGACACCACCGTTCAAATCGAAAAACAAGAAGGGCAGGAGGACGATAAAGAAGAAGGTTGTGAAACTCACCAGAAGACGTCGGAAACGGAGTTTTTTCAGGAAAAACTTTGAAAACGACTCGCACCGGAAGGACCAGGAGTCAACAATGGGTTTACTGACTGATTTTTAAGAGAAAAATGCTGTCGATGATGGCTGAGGAAACAGAAACTCCGGCGAAGCAGATCAGAAAAGGCGTATTCTGGGTCAGAGATCGGAATGGCAAAACAATGGAAATCGGAGAAGAACCCCCTTTATATAGGGGGGAACCGTCATCATTAGGCGGGAGAACCAAAACGGCGCATTTAATGCGCACGACATCCCAAGACGGGGAAAGCTGCTCGAGGCCATTATGAAGGACGGATGGCAGTTGGAAAAACCCTTCGTCTCCTGACAACGCGTGTCCTCGGCGTCAGAAGATCGAAGGCTGGGGGGCAGTTGATGGGACTCTTCTGAAAAAGCCTATGATGAAGACACGTGTCCTCAGGGGTTTCTAGAACAAAGTTGCTCGGGTTCAAGCACCATCGGCAAAACTTCCTCTCCCCGAGGTACCTCTCATATAGGATCACATATTCGGTACAGTATACAAAGACATGTGTCCTCGGTCACCATGTACCTCGGGAACACACCACCCCTTGGTCCCCCGAGGTGAGCCTTTCCTCGGCACCGAGGGTCACTCCATCCTGGACGCTTCCCCTACTCCCGGATAAAGCTACTGACAAAACTGGGCATCAGCCTATGCCAGTATGGACTAGTCATCATGAGCTCTTTTTACACAAGTAATGTCAGAACGTGCTGGAATACCGACGTAACAGCCAATAAGGGATGGACGTGTGGCAAATAATGTCACATCCGAAGCAGACAAACCGCATGCCGCTGCTGGCACGCGACTTGGGAAAGCAAACAATTAATTACACCCTTCTGTTGACAAGACCGCATTTAATGCGGTAAGGTTCGGATATGAAAGGCAATAAATGCTCCTATTACAGAGCATTTATTGCATCCTTCCCGAAAGGAGCATATTGTACCGTCGGCGTCCCGACAACTCACCATTAATTGCTCAGGACCCCGAGCAGTCAATTAGAGAAGACATTCCTCATCAAATGATTACACACACTACCTGTGCCTGATGATCACCTACTGACCACACTGACAGCAATCATGATCTTCTAAGGTATAAATACCCCTCCCAAAAGACAAAGCGGGTATGCAATCACAAACTCCCTACTACGAAATATCCTTCTCAGTGTTTTCTCCTTCCTCTCTCTCATTCAAAGACTGACTAGACCGTCGGAGGGGATACGCCGGAAAACACTCCGGCGCCCTTCTAACTTGTTCTCTTTTGTCCCAGGAAATACCTTTCGCACGTACAGGATCGTTCCTCCTTTCCCAGGATCGTAAGTTGTTCCGAGCAGTGTGTTTGGCCACTCAATCGGCTCACCCAAAGTTCACCAGGGGAGAGATCTGTTCCCAATATTTTATATATATCGTGCAGGATCAAGCCCGCACAGTTGGCCTTGGGTCGACTCTCCGCCTGAGTTGTACCCCTGATTTCACTAGCCGACGGCCGGTCTTTCCTTCTTACCGTATGCTTACTTGAGGGTCAGAAGGCAGTTTCTGATATTTCTTGATCAAAAGACACATCCACCACCCGATCATATGAAACTCAGGATCAGCAATCACTGGCTACAACATAATAATACTATAATCGACAAAATTTGGATTGATTCTATCCAGATGGCCGGCAGCCCGAAGCTCCACCCACCTTTTCTATATAGGTGCATAAGAGCAACTCCACAGACAGTTGCCATTTTGGGGTGTCATAAGATTGAATGGAATTTTGGTATTTTTAAATTATAAATCTACTCTAATGGCAAGTGCTAAAATGGGGGTGTCATTTTAATATTTTAATAAATTTTTATTAAAAAATATAATTAAAAACTGTCAAATTGCAAATCCATTAAAAAAAAATTATAATCAATTTAAAAAATGAGCATAAAATAATTAATTAAAAAATAAATAAAATTACCCTTAATTAAAACAAATAAATCTATCATAAATTATAATTAAATTACAAATTATAAATTAATACAAGAGTAGGGATGATAGAAGTAATTATAAATTACAACGTCTTCCCCTTCCCCTAATTAAATACCCCTTCCCCTAATTAAATAAAACGCTTTCTATCTTTTCCCCTTCCCCTTCCAGAACGTCTGCTTCCCCTTCCTCCCCTTTCCCAGCGCCCTCTACAACTTACAACGGCAATCGATTTAACGGCAACGACAAGCAGTATCAACGGTTTTAGGGAGAAGTAGACACCAACGGATTGATAGGGTTTTCGATATCAAAGACAAGGAGTTGCAACGCTTTTCAAGGAAGCGGTTTTCAAGGAGCAGTAGACACCAATGAATTTTCAGGCAAGCCTTTCCCTCTCTCTTTATTTTTATAGAATTTTTAGATTGAATATAACCGTTGAGAGGAACAGTAGATACCAACAGCTCTTTTGCAACCTATCACATTCTTTTTCCAGAGTTTGCAATTTTGTCACTCCAACTCCATTGTTGTCATTTTGTCACCCTTAATGCCGCTCTTCTTGGAGTGATTTTTTTTGAATTTGGTGTGGCATTTTAGTGATTATGAGGATGCCACCCCCAACTCCCTTTGGAGTTACTCTAACCTCTCCTTTGCCGTCTTCCCTCCTCATTCCCCCTTTCCCCGCTTTTGTATTTTTTTTGTTTTTTCCTTTTTCCTCTCTTTTCAAGCTGAGAAGAGTGATCATATTAAGCTCACTAATAAGGTTCAATGAGTGTATAATATTTATGATCATTCCAAAATTATTAGACACAGAACACAGAGAGAGATTAAACATAGATGCACAAATTGCACCTAAAAATGCATGGCAGAGCCGAATTATAGCATTGAGCATGGAGTAGATCTCGAGGAACCTGATGCACAGGAACCTGATTTGCAGACAAATTGTAACCGGTCACAAAAGTTATCAACAGCCTTCGGTTTTAGCATCATAAATTTTAGATTTTGGCATCAAAATTGATATCAGAATTGAAGGAAATTCCAAACTGCATTCTTTACAAAGACAACAAAAAATGTCTGGCAAAGTAAGTACCATATGCCTAACATTACTTAATACAACAAAATAACAAGTCCATACAAGTACGGATCAATGAATCTAACCTTAATACTATTTCTTTTTTTTTTTTGGCGGAACACATATAAATATCGGGATCATTAACAATCCGTGTGAATGTGTACCATGAGGACACCATCTCAGTCCAACCATAGTTAACCTTGAATTGGAACACCATCTCAGTCCAAATCCAAAAACCATCTTTTTTATGTGTTATTTAACCTCAACCTGAACAGAAGAACTAAAACGGTTTTGTCTAATCTTCCTTGCCCATTGTCACTACCATTGCAATACAATCCACCCCCACATTGCAGACCAACCTCAAAATTATCAATAATAAACTCCTCCAAGGCAAATACCCACCAAGAATTCACTAATGCTAAGTGGGATAAGTATATCTTGGATATTCCATCCCTCAAAAATTTGGAAACAAACTTTTGATTACAAGAGGGGGAGGGTTAGAATAACTGAGGGAAATTTTTTCTTCAGCGCAGTGTGAATCAAGAAAGAGCTAACTCAGAATATTTTTCTTAATTCCCTCATTTCTCATAGCATGTGATGGATCAGAAAATTCAATGTTATGAACTACAATAATGGCATCTCGGTATTGATATCTATTGTTGAAGTTACAGTATTGTTGGTGTGGTGTATGACTTCGGACCAATGAATACAACTATTACCAGAGAAAGAGATTGCAACTGTGATTTAAAGGTTTCAAGTTGTTTGTTTTATTCTAAAGTATTGAGTGGATGGTCTCTCACAATTTTTCGTGATCATTACACCACGAGGACAATATTGGGATTTATTTTTGTAATAAATATTCTTCTTGTGGTACAACGATACTACTCAATTATCCCCTCTCCAGTATTTTAGAAAATCTAAGTCAAAGGAATAAGAAGTATAAGGATCCGATGTACTAGAGTAATTTAGATGAGATAACGACACAGAAACCATCATAGATCAATTTTTCCTTCATCTTGATCATGCTAACTTTTGCAATTAAGTGTCCCTTTTTAGGTCATATGCAATGTAATATTAGTACTATATCGAACGAATAACATCAGAGTTCGATCAATCTACACCCAAATATCCAGACATGGGTGGTATTAAAATCAATCTACATTACAAGGAAGGAAAAATATGTCTGGAAAAGCAATAGAATATACGGAAAGAAGTCTGAATAGAGCATTTATAATAGGACAGAATACACGGATCTCTATGCTCTGAGAAAGATTAACTCTTGACCTTGCTTGCATTTAATGAAATCAAGAGTAACCAACTGGACTACATTAATAATTCAAGCATAACTCTTGCTATATTAATTATTTAAGCAATTGCTTATCAAATTGGATGCACTTAAAGTCAATTAAACTATGCATACGAAGCCGTGTAATTGTTTATTTGGAGCAGCAAGTCTTCACAAAACAACCAGTCAATTTCAATGAACCGTTTGGCATCAAAAAGGCATATTCCAAATCAAATCAATGCAGTGACATTTTGATTTTTTTTTGTTTTCCCGGAAAACAGAGGAAAATAAAACAGATGGGGCTCAGTTCATTCAAATCCCAGACAAAACCACCACAAATTACAAGCACATTATTTCCATACATCAAAATGATCTTAGACTCGCCCGATTAAGAAGACGACACAAAACGGGTCCGATTGAACTCCCCACTCTTTCTCTCCCCAACTCCATTGACGCAATCGAACCCACATCCACACTGCGGACTCTCAACGAAACTATCGATCGGAAAATTAGCAGAAGCAATCCCGACGGAGAAAGAGAGCTCGTCCTCATCACGACTGACTTCCACGATGCTCACCCACAAAAAGAGCACCTTAACCTGGACGCCCTTGAGGTTTGTAATCTTGTCCGTGGACACAACCCCAGTAACCGTTGTCTTATACTTGAGGTCATAGCCATCAATGTTGAATGTGCACGTTTCGTTGAAATACACCGTGAATTCACCGGTGCTAGTGTCTAACTCGTAGCTCGTCACTCCCACGGGAAGAATACCCACAGGGAAGCCGTACTGTTGTAGAGCTTCGTACACCGTCAGAGCGTCATCGCCGACGGCAGGTGTCGAGAAAAGGATTAGAGAGATGAGAAGGAGGCACAGAATCGCCGGCGAAGACATGGATGAATGATTTGCTACACCTACGGCTACAATTAGTTGCTAGGACTTGGGAGGTGGGAATGGATATCCGGCTTAATATAGGGCAATTACCCAAGCGTATGGACTATGGACTCTGGACCAACGAACTAACCATGTGAAAGAGGACTGGTAGATGAAGGGGATGTAGTAGGAAAACGAGGTATAGTTTAAATAATAACACACACCAATCGTACATATCGGCGTGCCTTTAAATTTTGATAATTTTTTGGAGTTAATTTTTTTTTAATATTTTAATGTTAATGTAAATAACTTATTTTGATTTAATCAAATAAAAAATTAGTCAAAATATGTATAAATTAGTTCAAACTAAAAAATATTGATTATAACAATTACATTATATTAATAATGTCATGTGGAATAATCACTCACTAGTAAACAAACAAATAAACAAATGATTTCTAAAAAATAAAATAACTATTTATCCATGTAATATGTAACCAACTTCATATAAGACAATGAAATCTATTTTATTTATTTTTTAAATTTTTATTAAACAATTATACTATATATCAATGATGATGGGCATTAATTGTTGCAGTCAATATTTACTTGGCTTGAACAGCGCTTATGGCTTATGATTGTAAAAAACAAAAGAAAAAAAAATAAGGGTTTTTAGAAATCGATACACCTAACTAGACTTATTTGACAAAAATTATATATTAAAAAATATTTTGAAAAAAGGTACTTAGATACAAAGATATAAATGTTCATTTTAGAGAAAATGGTGCATTAAATATCTCCTAGTTTTATGGGAGAACTTTAATATTTAATGCACATTGATTTATGTATATTTATATTTATACTTGTGTGTATGTATTTATATTTATATTTACATATGTAATACTTTAGGTAATGTCTCCCTTTACCTTGTGTAAATAGTTTGTTACATTGTTACTTTCAATATTACCCTATAACATTTTACACTTTCTATTAAAAAAAGTGAGACATAAGATAATATTTTACACTTTACACTTTCAAAAATATTACACTTTACACTTTTAATGTTACACTTTACACGTATATATATATATATATATATATATATATATATATATATATATATATATATATATTTTAACAAATACATATGAATCAAGGTGCATTAAATACTAAAGTTTTCCTATAAAACTAAGAGATATTTAATGCATCATTTTTCAAAAACATACACATGGATCAATATCACAAAAAAATTAGATAAATTCAAATTGTGTACTTAGATACAAATAAGTATCAAAATTAAGGATTTAATAATACTACATTTTTTAGTGTGTATTTTTTGCCAAATATCCCTTACAATTTACCCAAAAAAACAAAAAAGGGGGAGGGGGGGTTTCGTAGTAGGGCTTTTTGGTGGTACCGGATAAAGTGCAATGAATTTGTCCCAATAAAGATTTGTTTTTTTCGTCGCGCAATTTTACGAGGGGCCCATTATTATAAGGAGATGATCGCTGAAAGTTAAGACTTGCGATTTAGTTCAATAGTAAATATAATAAGTATTAAAAATTAGAAAATATTTAATAAATTATTATTATTATTATTTATTGTGATGTATTAAGTAAGCAGGATGATCCAAGTGGCTTAGGATGGTCAGGGCGGTGACAGGAGGAGTAGCACCGTTCAATGTCTTCGTGTCCCGATCATCTGATTCCACGTGGTGATTGCAAAATCTATCATTTTTCCTACATTATTCTTCAAATCTTTATTTAATTAAGATAATTTATGATCAATCATGAATTATTCTAATCAGTTATAACTTTATTTTTAAGAGTTATAATTTATTCTTTAAAAATTATAACTTATAATAGTTAAAATTTATAACTTAAACAATCGATCATAATAATTTTTTTATCTTTATTTTGGTTCTAGATTGAAAATTATAATTTTTTGTAGTTAAGTTATTAATTTGAGTCCCATGAAAGTCTAATTACATGTGCTGCTTAATTCGAATTCAATTATTATAGTAAAAAATTATTTTTTATACTATACCTCGGACCTCCAACTTTAGCATTCCAAGTTTAACCTTAAACGTGTAGTAATCGTCCGCTAAATTGCAGTAACATCCAAATACACGCTTCTTCCCTTTTCAAATCCTAAAAGTCATGACAACACCCACAAGTTTACAGGTTCATCTGAATCCATAGAAAGAATCGCATTGTTTCAAAATTCTTACCATATCTTTGACAATTAAAGGCATGTTTGGATTGTGTTTTAAAAATAATTTTTGGCTAGAGATGCTATTTATTTGGTTAGACATTTTTATAAATATATATATTTTTAAAAAAGGTGAGAATTAATAACAAAAACTAGAGAACACTAAATAATATTCTATGAGTTTTCGTGCCAAAATAAAAAACAAGAAAAACAACCCTACTATTTAATAAGGTCCACACTACTATTTAATAAGGTCCATTTTTTTCTTTCTTCTACCTCTCTTGTCTTCTCTCTCTCTCTCCAAACATGTTTTATAATTTTTTGTTCTTCAAAATTATTTCAAAGGCATATAATTAAACAAATTTTGCAATCTAAATATTTTTTAAAATATTTTCTTAAAATTCTTTTCAAAAATCATTTTCAAATACGATTTTTTGAGATGTAATTCAAACATGCCCTTAGTCTTTTTTTTTTTCTTTAAAAATTAAGTCCACTTGCATGTTTTATAAAAGCACTCCCTCTGGATTGTGCTGGAAAGACATTTGTGCAAACCTTCCAAGTTACCCTTGAATATTTTCTCCAGAAGATCAAACCACTCGAGCAGAAAAAAGTGGAAAGAAAAAGAAAATCGAGAATGACGGTGATGGCTACTGTTCTCATGATACCACATACATCTTTCAACAAAAAGTCCTTGTCATTTTTGACTATTAAGATGACCGTATTGTCTTGTCTCTTTAGAAATTGGAAATTGTATGCAAGCACGATGATTTGTTTGAAATTAACTTAAATGTGTACTTTTTAAAGGTTTTAGAATAAAATAATTTTTTGTTTACCAACGTATGCATCAATTTTTTAAACCTAAAAGAACTTATTTAGACTAATTTAAGAAACTAATATTATGAACTTTTCTTCTAATTTTTGGGAGTTTTATCGCGAGTCCCACATAATTTTTTAGTTTGTTATATTCATAAAATATTATTAATAATGTAAAAAAATTTGAAATTTATATTTTAGAAACTATTATGCATAATCTATACGTATATATAATTATTTGTTTTATTTTGACATAAAACTGACAAAAAAACAAAAAATCACTCAAAACAAAAATTTTCAACTTTTTAAAGAACACTCCAAACAATTTTAAGGGACTTTTTTTAATTCTAATTTTTTTAAACAGTAACTTTTCTTCTTAAAAAAAAAAACCAAAACCAAAACCAATTCCAATCAGAACCAATAATTAAGTTTGTGAAATTGGGCTTGACGCAGTTCAACATCGGGACAGTTGGACACAACATAAGTCTATTAAACTTATGGGCATTACAGAAAATCCAATGAAATTATCTCCTGGGCTTTTGAGCTGGTCTTCTACTACCCAAAACGTGTGGGCTGGGCTTTCGTACACAAATAGTAGTCCAGCAGCATAACTCTGAGCTAATAACAAGACATCATCGGATCCTATTTATTAACATGATAACATCAATTTTCAACACCATCACCATCACCATCACACCAAATTACTTTCAAAGTAAATACCATAGGCCTGAAAATACAACTTTCCTTTTTAATTTTCTCAATTTAATACTTAAATTATGTTTAACATACCAGTCAATCCTTCCCATCCAAATTCAAATGTTAAACCAAACAGAAAATCAGAAATATAAAAGTTTTAGAGACAATAAATAACAAATTTCATCTGTCCCTCCTCCGCCTTGTTTTAAGACCATATACGATATTTATCCTATTAAGTAACTATTATTTTTGACTATGTTGGAAACCTAAATCTATGTTTTCCTCGTTCAAACGGGATATTCAGATCATTCATGCTAAGATTAAAATATTTCCCAACCCAAAGATGTTCCCAACGTAGGATTGGTTCAATGGAAACCTATTACTATGTTGACTTCACATCATATTGCAACATATTCCCTTAATGAGAGCAAAATTCAAACTATTTTAATTCGGACAAATCACCTGTGATTTATGAAAAAAGGGAAGGGAAAAGGGGGGGGGGGGGGGGGGGGGGGGAAGAAAAAGATAAGGAGACTTGAGGAAAGCGTGCGTCATAAATTAAACTCACCTAAGAAGAAGATACAAATCGATTCAACTTTACTTTCCTTTCTTCCCCATTAGCACAGTTAAATCCACAACCACACTGTGGGGACTCTAGGAAATTTCTAATGCCAAAGTTCGCCGAGATAAGCCCGACGGAGAATTCAAGCTCATCGACTCCACGTTTCACCTCCACAATGTTGAACCACAACAAGAGAACCTTGACACTGACACCACTCAGTTTCCGAAGCCTTCCTTTAGAAATCACACCCTTTATGGTTGATTTGTACTTGAGTTCATATGAATTGTCCAGCGTGAAGCTGCAAGTGCCGTTCAGATACGCCGAGAAAGCACCGGTGGAAGGGTTCAAATCGTAGCCGGTCACACCTTTCGGAAGAATACCGATCGGGAAATCATATTGCCATATAGCTTCATAGGCAGAGGGCTTGTCGTCGCCGGCGACGGAAAGAAAAAGGAGAGAGACGCATAGAAAGGAGATCAAAGCCATGGCTTTTGATTGGAAAAGCAAAGCCATCTTGTCGCACTGTTATCGGTTTTTTGTTTACGCCTAGCGTTAAAAATTGGTGCAAGTTTACAATAAGCAGACAGAGAACCTGACCTGGAAGGTTATGGTTGAGGTACAGATGATGCTATGCAACTTTTTTGGAAGTGGGTGTCATGTCCAGTTGTCATTCATATGTAGGGCTAGTCGTAGCAAATACTGTTTTCACGTTGGTCATGTTAGACTTTCCACATCCACAACCTTAATTTAGTCGCCGCGGGCCACGTGGACACATGCTTGTGATGGTTTTACCGACTCTTCAATTTCCTAAATTGAAAAGATGCTCTCCAAACATAAAAATTTGACATAATATGGCTGGTCTAATAACCAACCTTCATTAAAATTATTGAATTAATATTAAATTTTAATATTTGATGAAATATACAGTCAATTCAAAGATCATAATAAATTAGATCACTAAATTAAATCACAATAACATTACTCTTTCATGAAATGCTTTCATGAAATGCGACAACAACTTAATTTTTTAGTGAAATAAGTAAAAACTCATTAATTGAATAAGTCATACTAAATTGGTGCCTTGACCAAAAAAAAAAATACTAAATTGGTGCAAATTTAAGTGGGGTACAACATTCATATTTTTTATTCAAAAAATTATATTTTTAATATCAAACTTTCACTTTTATATTTAATAAGATTTTGGCACTTATAAGCTTTTATTTTACAATTATCACATACTGTTTTATTATTTTTAAAATTATTAATTATAAATCACTCAGACCAAAATTTACAACCCTCAATCAACTTCAATACGGTACCCATATATTTTTTCGGATACCGGAAATTTGTGCTCCATTTTTGAAGTTGTTAAACTAGTCCAATAATTTTTGACAAGTCTCTATCCCACAGGCATTGTGTGATCACTGTGACAATTCCCTAAGATGAATTTTTCTTGAAACTAACACAACTTAGGACGTTATGCATAGTACACATAAAAATAATATGTCGCACTTATCTTTAAATCAAAAACAAATTAAAAATACCTTAAATAAAGTTATAGGTTCATCAAGTCGCATGTCGCTCTAGTCTTTTGCCCTTTGCACAAATAAAATGCGATACAAAATGTCAATATGAGTATGATATGTAATAGAACACCAATGATCTCTTGGACAAAAGACATTTCCACCTGTGGATGTATCATTTTGTGTAGGAAAATCAAGTCAACTGGAAATTCTGTTGCAATTGATCATAAGAGAATAATAGATCAACTCCAGCCTTCCCCTACTCATTCCATCCACTGGCGATAGCTTCCTCCATGTGTTTTGATGTTAATGTACACGCTTCTTTCTGGTGTTGAAGCTATCAGTCGCAACAGTACAGGGCAAAGCCTCAAATTCCACAGTGAAAATGTTAGTATTGCATGAGAGAATCACTAGTTTCAACATAGATACATCACCTGTTTGCCTTTACCAATATCCTTCACCTTTAGTAGTTTTAGCATCTATCAGGCAGAGAAGAGGAAAAAGATGCTTCAAGCCAACTAGATGACCAGATGGATCTTATAACCGAGAATTAGTCTGCTCAATTATGGCCCCCTGCAGTGCCCATACAGTTTCTCATATCAGCAACAAGCACCCAGAGACACAAGGGCAACTAAAGAATTTGAAATTAACTGGAATAAAACGTGGGGGATTTAGGAGGTTAACCATAGCAACACATAAGAATGATTAGGATTTGATTTTCTGGGAAGAAACCAAGAGATTCTGATTTTTTTTTTTTTTTGGGGGGGGGGGGGTGGATCAATGCACATTACAACAACAAAGATTTCGCTACAACTAATGTTTTGTCTTTCTTTTTTCCTGTATTATATATGAGAATCGGAACAAATCATGATGCATCCAATACTTATTTAAAAAGCAGGTGAAAATATTTAGTCGAGATAAAAGATGAAATTCTAAGCATTTCAACCAACAAATGAAAGTATCTGTCAAATTGACCACAGGTGTAAACATTTGCAGAGGACAATATGCATATGCACGAAGTTTCATTTTTCCGTATGGAACCAGCAAAAGTGCTGATCCTAATATCCCGGAATGTGCCACAGGCCAGATGAATATCTTGCCTTTCCTCACTTACAAACACAAAAGGATGGGGTTTAGTTAAAATATGATACTAGTAGGTCCCACTAGCTTGTGCCTACTAGAAAAAAGATGATGTCACTTATAGCATCTACACATAACATTCAATTTATTTAGGTGCAGTCCATATTATCCGTTGGTGCTCTTCGTGATCTAGATGACTCTGTTAAAGTAATTATGTAATCTACAGATTTCTCACCAAAGATGTCCCTTCGGAAGCTCGCTCTGTTAAATAGGCACAAGGTTTGAAGAATTCCCCATACTCCTTTGACCAATCCTCCAATTTTGAGCATATGTATCTGGACCCAAGAGAATCAGCCCAGAAAATGATTCCTCCCCTGCTCCCACTCACATAAAGTCGTGCAATAAGAATACAATATTCTTTTAGGAAGGAATGGTCATATAGTCAAGGCAGAAAAACAAACCTGTAAGCTGGAAACCCCATACCATTCACAGAAGCAACATCAAGATCGGATGCCTTGGCTGCAATTCCTTCTGCGAGTACACGGCAGGCCTCATTCACAACAGGAAAGAATATCATCTCAACTATGTCTTCCTCACACAACTTCGTTAACTGTGCCGGGACAGAACACAATGAGAGAGAGAGAGAGAGAATTTTCAACTTAGAAAATAAGGATTTAGTTATATGCATCATCTGGATGGTAATATTTGAAGACATTGTTGACTGAGAATTTGTCAATCATGTTCTAGTTACACATTTTTCATTTGCAGCAATGGATTGGAGTGTGGTAAACAGCACCAAATGGTATTTCATTCCTCAGTGAACAAGCATCAGTGGAGCAACAAAATTAACTAGGAAAGAGTCAACTAGTAAAATAACCAGCCCAAACCCCCAAGTCCAATGATCACATAAATTGTCGTCAAAGGCTTGGGACACAGTGGAAACACACAATGCATCATATCCTATGTCAATTTAATGCCTGTAGCATGCCTATATGAAAGGTTTGCTGCCTGGAAAACTATGAGCAGCAGAGCTTATACAGGATAGATAGGCTCCCGCTTTTAATATGCATCAGTTTTAAGTGCAACCAAAAGAATGAGCTCAGAATGAAATAAACATCTACAACAAACCCTTGGCAGTTTGAAGAACCAAAAACATAAAAAATGAAGAAGTGTAGATGTGTGTGTGTGTGTGAGGGAGAGGGAGGGAGAGAGAGAGAGAGACTTTGGAATCAATAGTAACATCCGATATACTCCGAGCCTTCTCGATGTACTTCATTACTTCAGGGTCTGGGCTAGCGATCTGCTTGCCATCATACACATAAAAACCCTTCCCATTCCGTTCACCTGGAATAAATGCCAGCAGGCACAAAAATTTATTGGATGGTCATGATAAGCTCAAGAATCGTCCTAGGTCCTTGATGTTGCAAAAACAATCATCCAGTAGATATTCTTTTGCCTAATTCCTAATCTATATGGAGGTAGACAGAATACCTTGTCGGTTATCTTCTCGCATGACAGGAATCAACATTGATCTATAGGATCTCTCAGGAAAACTCTCAACAAAGTTAGTATCAACAGCAATAGCAACCCCAAAACCAATACGATCTACCATTCTGCATTGCAGTATGAAAACAAATCAAAAAAAAGAAAGAAGATATAATGGATCCTATCTCAAGTGACTAGAGGATCCTTACAAAGCTACAAGACAACAATTCCAAATTGAGCCAATATTCACTGACAGGCTGTTTGTAAACAATCACAAACCAAGATTTTTGTTGTTATTTTTTTTTCTGGAAAGGCTGACTCAAACTTTCTTTCTGAAGCATTCAATGATGAGCCCACATGTTTCTTCCTAGCCCTCCTAAGAAATGAGGTCATTCAAATCAAAAAGGGTGGTCATCTCTCTCATCAGGAAAGTGACTTTGAAAATAACAGCGGTTCACACATGTAAACGTGAGCATTTCTAATTGAAATGAATTACTTTACTCAAATGGACTCAGAACAGAAAACACTTACCTAAATGGACCAATTGGCACTCCAAATTTCACAATTGCTTGATCAATCCGATAGACATTTGCACCTCGTTCTATGAGTAACACTGCTGCTTGGGAGTAAGGAAAGAACATCCGGCTGACTGCAAAGCCCGTGCAATTTCTGACAACAACTGGAGTTTTCTTAATCCTCTTCCCCAGATCAAGTAAGTCGACAATTACCTGACGACACGTTCTCTCGGTACGAACTATTTCCAGCAGAGGCATGATGTGAGCAGGACTGTGTTAAGATCTTTTATCAATGATTATAAAAAAATACAACTAATTCACCATGACAGCATGCTACCAAGAATTACCTAAAAAAGTGGGCACCGACAATCCGATTTTGAGATTTTGTCCTATCTCCAATCAAATTTAAGTTAATTGCAGACGTGTTACTCGCAAATATGCAATGCGGAGGGCAATAGGTATCAAGATCGGCAAAAATTTGTTGCTTTAAGGAAACATCTTCATGTACAGCCTGCCCAAAATATTGAAGTGAATTAACTACCGAGTAAACAAAGTTGACCAAATCCAAATTTTCCCTAACATCACCACCTTCACAGGCTTCACCTGTGCTCCCTAACATCACCACCCTCGCCCCTTCCACAGGTATCACAGGCAATTTTACTACTAACCTTACATGAGGTACTGCATTCTTATATAGGCGCTTTGATTTTTAGCTCTTTCATCTCCAAATATTTTGTAGTCAGAATGTTTCACAATCCGATCATTAATTAAAGAGAACAAATGAATATTTTCTTTCTTCATTTTTGGTTTTCAAAAATGTATTATTAACAAGGCCAGTATGAATGCGCGTCAAATCATAAGGTGCCAGTGACAGCAAATACTAGGGCATGAAAGAGTAGGAGGCCCTTCATGGTGCTGTATTAACTATACTGTGGCTAGTCCTACTCATGACAGCCCCCTAATCAGTAGGAACTCTTTAACTGCCTCTGATAGCTTAACAGAATCATCATTAAGGTTTTGTTTGTTTGATAGTTTTAAACTGGAAGTCTTAAGTATGAATCGGCCTCCCATACTGGCTCATCAGCAGTTTCATCAAAATAACAGAACATGCACCAGCAATAGAAGCTTTAGGAAAAATTAGAGAAAAAGAAGGTTCCAATTCAAACTAATAACAGTGGATGCTCTAATTGGAACTAACCTCTATGACTAAATCCACATCTTTGAAGCTGTCATAGTTGAGAACACCATTCAAAAGAGAGATTGCTTTTTTGAGCTTCTCTTGTGTAAATCTTTGTTTCTTGGCAAGACTGAGCAAATTAGCTGAAGAGAAAGATAACAGTAATGACGTTAAAACTTTAAGCAAAGATAATTGTGTGAGAAAGATTTACTGAAGCAGAAGTCATGCTCGCCTCTGATCCTTCCTATTCCGGCATGTAGAGAATTCCCATTCACTTCTTTTACGATCACATGGTAATTGTTCAAAATCAGCACAGTTGCTATTCCACAGCCCATTAATCCCCCACCTATAATGGCAACCTTATTTACTTTCCTTGATAGCAAGCCCGTATCAGTAATTCCAGGAATCTGTCAACAGTTTACAATAAGAACATGCAACTAGCAAGGGTGGAATGAAAGGGAGAAAATCCTTGGGATAAATATGAACTTTCAGAAGGGAAAAACTCATATGAATTGAGCACTTAAGCATCAAATGTGATTTAAAGCAAGACTGATTGTTATCAAATTAGTTACTTGTGACCCAAAAACAACCATGCCAAGATTGAAAAACCTCAAAGTTAACTTGGAATTCAGGTTTAAATCATCAGATATACCCACTATAAAAGAATCCAATTTTTATTTTAGACATGAGGCGACACCTTAAGGATTTAAGATAAAGAAAACCTCCTTGCTACTACAAAATATAGGCAGAAATTTTCTCAATTATATTGATCAATGATGAGGTTAATAAATCTGAATTTGTTCAAACCTTTGAAGTGGCACGTTGAGCAAAGAAAAAGTGAACCAAACTCCTGCAGGTCTGCGATTGACGAAGTTCATGTAAAGCCTCTGCTTCCTGATGACAAGAAGTAAATTACGCTTATGTTGCAATCAGCCTGTCATGTAGAAAAAGAAACAAAAAACGAGGATATATACCTTCCATAGTCCAGTTTGAGGACCAAAAACTATACCCTGCTCAACAACATCAATGCAAACCAATGGGTGATTGAGATTCAGATTTCGTTTCCTATTCTGAACTCTGGCAAGGTTAAGTGTCGCCTTGGCTTCTGCTAGGGGCTCTAATTTGTCAGTTCTGTAAAGACTGAGAACCCATGGCCTTTTACATTCCAAAATGTCCAAGGCCCAGCAACAAGCTACGCTAAGTAATTCATCTGCTGGAGCAATGGCATCCACAAGGCCCAATTTTTTAGCATCATTCCCATTCACTGGCTTTGACATCTGCAAACAGAGACAGTACGCCGAAAGTTTTGTGGCTAGAAGCCTAGAACATAATTTAGAACATAATTTACCTAGGGGTAAGAAAACAAGAAAAAGGGAAAGGACTGGCCATACCAGCATCATTTCGAGAGCCTTGGGAAGGCCCACAAGGCGTGGAAGACGTTGTGTTCCTGAAGCAATTAAAACTAAACAACATGAACGAGACAGACCGACAAGAAATAACTTTAATGTCACCTTCACCCTGTAACTACAGAGGAGGAAAGAAATAGTGTTAACAAAAATAATAAATTCAATAATGGACTATGTGGCCAACTCAAGCATCACAGGTACCTCAAAATACAAAGGATTATAATGTAAAATGCTCCACTACTGTCAACTTAAATTCAGTCCCAAGCATAGTGTCCCTCTCACAAAGGTATACTAGCTCTCCCCAAATAACTGTTCACATTACATATTTGCAGGTGTATTTTCATAAGCAGTTGAGCACCAACTCATCTCTGGGAGAACATCTATTTGGGACAGCATACAGTATTAAAGGCATTCATCCGCATCTTCAAACCCTGCAGTCAAAACAACTGGACTAGGCATTTTTTTTCAAGATCAAGATGCTACAATGTCCCATTCATCCAAGCTGAAAAGACTTGGCATGTCAATCTAGGTACACAAATGCTAAGACAAAGCCTAAATGTTTCATAGGTACAATAGTGACCAATTATTGCAGTTTTTACTAGCAAGCCCACAGAAATATGGCACACCACAATACACAAAATAGCATGATTGCCTACGAAATTTTGGTTGTAAAGCATTTATTGCCAATACAAATGCCTCACTATAACATGGAGAGAAATCCAAGACATCTAAACAACATTATCCCACATGCACAGAAGCATAATATTACCTCCAAGTCCTGGAAGAATTCCATATTGAAGTTCAGGCAAACCTAATCGTGCAGCAGAAGTTGATATGCGCGCATGGCAGGCCTGAAGAGGTGTATAATAAAAATGTCACCCACAGTAAAAACCAGAGGAAAAATGGAAGTAAACTTGAAAGTTTCTTGAAATGCCATCTAACTCATACAAGTGCAACCTCTAATCCACCACCTAAAGCAGGACCATCAATGGCGGCAACTAAAGGTTTTCTTGCAGCTAATCAGTGAATGAATCAAAAAAATGGTTATCATATGAGTGAAACATTAGGAGAAGCTCGAGATAAAGGAAAAATAACAAAAAAATGGTATACCTTCCAAAGTTTCAGTGACAAATTCTATTGACATAAAACCAAGCCCTCTTTGCTCTGTTATGAAATACAATGTAGATGTAACAAAGAAACTGTATTTAAATCTAAGAAAATGAAGATAAAGATTACTACTCATACTTTTTCTCCCTTGACTTCCACCGAAAGCTGTCACATCAAATCCTGCTGAGAACTTCCGATTTGACCCTAACAGATAGAGTCCGGGTGTTAGCCTCACAACTTTATAGTCATCCATTTCGATGAAAAATCGAAGTGCTATTCAAGTTTACCTATTATAACAATCACTTTCACATCATCCTTTTGCAGAGCTTCCTCAATGCTCTGTTTTAAGCTGAGCAGAACTAGAAAGAAAAATATCATATACTCAGAAAGCTAGGATCACCAAAAGTGGACTAGGGATGAAAGAGCACACAGTTACTCAAACTGAAATCCTCACATATGTAAGTAGCAGGAAATAACAAGGATATCACACAACGCAAGCCTAAAATAATTTTGCAGGTGCAATGACCAAAACTTTATATGATCTAATCAGCTCAAACTATTCTTCTTGATATATTGATTATAATAGTCATACCTAATGTGGATGAGCAAAGACACTTGCAATAGAGCAATCTAGACAATGCTGCTACTCGGAACAATATCTGAATAAAGTCAAACCTTCTATTCATTCGGAATCTGATCATAATATATGCATTTTAATAAGGATTCGAAACGGCCAAACTACCAGCAAAATAATTAGATTTTGTATGACGAGTGGCTATATATGGAACTGCCAAGAAACTGTGACATAATTTTACTCCTTGTACACATTCTTTAATGTAATCATGAGCTGTTAACTTACAACTGAACTTCTAAGTGCTTCATCATACACGGATGAACAACATAATGTTGAATATTGAAAATTGCAGAATTTAGAAACATAAACACAAAGCAACAATTTCACCAAAAATTTTTGGTTTCTTTGTGTTCGATTGTAGCATCAACAAAACTACGAGGAAGAAATGGATGAAAAAGAAAGAAAAGAAAGCATCGGCATGAGGAAAGATAGAAACATTTGTGAAGTCAGGAAGATACCGTCAGAAGAAAGCAAGTTGAGGGGAGGATTGTTTATTGTGATGATGCCCACACCACCAGGACTGACCTCCAAGACTGTTTTCCCCTTCATCGTGTTGCCGTCTTCTTCTTCGATCGACTTCAATTACTGCTACTACTACTAGCTTACAATCACCGTTAATCTTCACTTCTTCTCTGTCCGCCTGTAGATGCCTCACGCAAATGACAAATAAGTGTGGGCCATTCCATTAGACACAGTAAAAATTTATTTTTCAGTATATTTATCGGAAGACCACTGGGTCTGCAGGAGTAGTAATCCATCTGCTTAAGAGTGCCGGTTCGGAATCCATTCTCCTTGTACCCAAAAAAAATAAAGCGAAAATTTTTCTATCATGTATCATTCTTTTTTATATTATAATATTGTCATTGCTCTATAAATTTCACAAAATTTAAACAGATATTCAACGTTACAAAAATCAAATCAGTAAGATCATCAAAAAATTCACACACCAAACAATACACAAACAAAATCGAATTTATAATTTTAATACAAACATAATTCTCAAGTTAGAAGGTTTTATATTTGAAAACATTGAAATTAATAATGATAGGTAATATTTATGGCACGGGTAATTAGGTAATACAAAAAAAAATTGAAATGATAATAATTTGATGAAAAATTTTTTTTAATGGAATATAAGTCTGATTGTGGTATTTAAAATCAAATAAATTCTAAAAAAAAAAAATTCGTGTGGACTGTATTATCATTATATCAACACCCGGTCCATATCCAATTTGTTGACAGGCTAACCCATGCTTTCATTCTGTTCGGGCCTGGCCTGCTTCCAATACGATTGAAGAGAAGGCATAGGGCAAGACGGCCAACGGAATGGCCCATTTCTAAAGTTCAGGGTTTAAGGCCCAAAAATAATAAGACGGGGGTACAAAACCCTAGCTCCCCTCTCTTTCTGCCGAGGCATTTCCGTTTCAGCAGGGCGCGGAGGGCAGCAGCAGCTATGGTATTTCTGTCTACGAACCTCGGCACCGTTTTCGCCTTTTTTTTGTCGAGCTCTCTTTTGATCTCTAAAATTTTGTTTTCTGCTTTTCACGTGATAGGGTATCGATCTGGTCGCCGGAGGTAAGAGCAAGAAGACTAAACGAACAGCCCCAAAATCCGATGATATCTACCTCAAGCTCCTTGTCAAGGTCTCTCCCATCTCCATTTCGTTCTCTCTTCCTGCATTGTTCATTTATTTTTCTAGTGATTTGAAGATTTTATGGTTGGATGTGTTATCAGTTGTACCGGTTTCTTGTGCGGAGGACTGGAAGCAAGTTCAATGCGGTTATTTTGAAGCGGCTCTTCATGAGCAAGATCAACAAGCCCGCACTCTCTCTCTCCCGCTTGATTCGCTTCATGCAGGGAAAGGTTACCCATTCCCTCTCCTCCCTTTTCCTCTCTCTATATGTATGTATGTATTTTCCTCCTTTATTTTTAAACAAACATACATATATTTGTTTGTTACTGAGGATAAGGTGGAAAAGAAAACATAACCCGGGGAACGCATTGGAACGTAGAAATCTTACATTTGTCTTGTTTTCAGTTTTTTTTCGGAAGAGTAATCGTATAGGACTTAATTTGGGGACATAATCATTGCTTAATTCAATGCAACTATCGGATTAGTTTTGAGTTTCAACTACTGCAGTTGATTAGGGGTCCTAAATTCGGTCCAAATAGTATTTATCTTTTTGAAAATTGATGATCTCATCTGAGGTAAACCTAAGTGCTTGTATGGGTGTTAAACTACTTGATTAATTGTCCTCGTTTGTCTCATAACTGATGAACCTAGAATTTATTCTTTATCAGGACGTGGCAGAGTTGGGGAAAAAATGTCTTTCGTTTGCTTTCTTGTTAATTTTAAACTTCTTTTTCTTTTACCCTTGTTGGTTCTAATTACTAATAATTTTGTTTAACTTAATCTTCGTATTGATTGTAAAACAGGGGGATAAAATTGCCGTGGTTGTTGGGACCGTTACTGATGATATTCGGGTGTATGAAGTCCCTGCTCTGAAGGTCACCGCTCTCAGGTTTACGGAGACAGCAAGGGCCAGGATTGAGAAGGCTGGTGGAGAATGCTTGACTTTTGATCAGCTGGCTCTTAGAGCTCCTCTTGGTCAGAACACGGTATGCATGTTAAAATCATGGCTGGAAACGTGCATTTATTCGGTAACAGATAAATTCGTGCATTTCTGACTAGTTAGTTCAGCCCAATTGTTAAAGTAACTAATGAATGCAAAAAGTAGGATGGATCTAAAGGCAATTTGAGGTCTATATCGACTGTATTGACAGAACAAAAGGACATTTGTATTTTGTGGTAATTAGTGGATATGCTCATCTGCTTGGATTGTAATTCTATTTTGATCTGGAAGAATGTAGAATCATAGATAGGTGATTTGATCTGCCAGTTTACTGCTACCGTGGAGTGTTTTTGTTAATCTCTATATGTTGCAGAAAAAATAGTTCTTTATCTCTTTCTTGAGATAATGTGTGGCTGTAGCCTAAGGAACTTAATTTAGTCATACAAATCTATATGTCCTGGGTTGCAGGTGCTCCTTAGAGGTCCTAAGAATGCCCGTGAAGCAGTCAAACACTTTGGTAAGGCTCCTGGTGTGCCACACAGCCACACTAAGCCCTATGTGCGATCGAAGGGAAGGAAATTTGAGAAGGCTAGAGGACGAAGGAAGAGCAGAGGCTTCAGGGTTTGAGTTGTCGACAGTTCTTAGTTCTTACAAGGCAGACATATCTATTAAATTCTGTTTTAAGTTTTTCTTCTTCAGTTGGTGATGATCCTGTCTCAGTTATGTTTTTTCCTCTTTTTCCATCCCTTTTGTTGAACACTATGGTTATGTGTAGCAGTGGTATTTTCCAGGGGCATTTTTTCCCTCGGGATTATCTGGTTGTCAGAACTTGAGATTACATTTCTATGAAGGATGAGGGCATACTTTTGACTTTTGAATGCACTTTGGTTCCATTTTTGAACTTGATATATTGTTGCCTCCAGTTGAAAGATGGATTCAGTTTTGACATGTATTTGAGCTGTGTTGATATTTGAAGGAGCCAGATTAGGCCATGCTCCTTCGACTAGAATGTCAAATTTGACCCATGGAAAGATACTTTAACATATTACTCTGTGCAGGTGATTCCATCGTTAAGATGACGTTACTCGCAGCTAACCCTTCTTTAACCCAGCAATACCTAACCAAACAGCAGGAACTCTCTCATTTGTGATAAGAGTTTTTACTTTATTCCCAATTGTAGATTAAGTGATAACATGTAGACACAGACCTTATGAGATTTTGGCATGACAGATTTTCACGAATATTTTAATTCCGATATAAATGGTATGTTTTTAATCAGATCAAAGAAAGAATTAGTATAAATTAATTGGAATATTTTTAACTGCAAAAAAAGTTAAAACATTATTATTTACAGATGTACCTGACGCTACCGCCTCATACAGCTTCTTTAGGTACGTAGGACAAATACAAGCTTGTGTGGCTAAGGTGATTGTCTCGTCCATGGATGGAAAAATGGTACATAAACCCACAGACAATAAAATTTTTTTGGTAGTTGAAGTTATGGCAGTCATCCACCCTATGCAAACACGAAGAAAAAGTAGAAGATGTCGTATTTCACAATCATACATTATTCTTGAAAAGTGCAAATCTAGTCCATTATTTTAATTTATTGATTTAATAATTCATAAAAGTTAAATTGAAAGTATAATTTAATATTTGTTGAGATTCGCAACCATTTTAAATTGAAAGTATAATTCAATGGTTGTTATGACAGATTATGTAAACAAATTAAATCTAAAGTTGACCGAAGATTAAAACTTCTGTATGAACTCATAAATGTGGGCGTTGACTTCTTCTGGCTTTTCCTGGTTGAGAAAGTGAGCGACTCCTTCTATTACGACTACCTCCAAGTTGGGCACATCTCTCTTGAAGTCTCCTTTGTGTATATAATCCTTGATGCCAGGTATGTTATAGGTAATGTCGAGGTCACCCACAATGAATTTAACTGGCACTTGTATTTGTAAACCAATCCATGCCCCTGTCAGCTCCCACCTTCTGCAACAATTAGAAAGTAAAATATTACCAGCTTTTCAGAATTCTAATTGGGTTTGGAAAATAGAACCTTCCCCATTCAAAAATAAAAGGAACTTTAAGTTCAAAAATGTTTGAACTTCAGCTCAAGCATAGCCTCCCAATTGCAGACAGAATCAGATGGATGAAATGATGCTTGTCCAATACTATAGTTTTTAGTTCACATACTCCAAAAAATAAATTCAAAATGATATGGCTTGAATATGATAGTAGTTGAAATGATGGGAACCGCACCTAGTTATGACTCAATGACACCCAAATATTTTTTGTACCACCCACTTGCGCTATGTATCACATGGACTAGTTTCAGAAAAATAAATGAGTCAACTTACAGATCTAAAGCTCCATAGTAGTTCAATCCTCCAGTGAAACCTTTCTTGTTATATTTTGCGGCATAGTACTGAATATCTTCCTCAGTCAACCATGAGGGTAGTGTAGCTGGGACCTTCAAAAATTGCCCCCATGGGTACCTCTACAGGTATACACGGTGGCTTTGGATCACGAGTCGAAAAGAACTTCTTGATTACATTTGCAGTATCAGCACAAGCAAAACCTTCTTCAGCCTTTCCTGGTTCCTATATCACAGATTGGTATTCTATGGTGAGCAAGCTGTTCTTGGCAATTGATATACGAATAATGATAGATTACCAAGATAACCCCCCATGGTTTGAAATAATCATTTGAGACTAATAATATATCTTAATTATTTTTGACTCATCTGTGCACGAAACTCATTTCACTTCTAGGTTTTGATACTGTCAGATGTACACAGATGCTAATTCTGTGACTCGAATTCGTCAAATTGATATAAAATTCAAACCGGCTGTACCCAACTTTAATTTTAATATATATCTATATAATAAAATAGTTTACAATTCAAATTTCAAATTTGTGGTTCAGATCACTTTAAATTTTACTTTAAAGTTAATCTAATGGCTAATATTAACACCCTAAATATAATAAGAAAAATAAGGTGGTAAAGATGTGTTCAGAGTGACTTTTTAAAAGTATTTCTACGAATTTATTTCTCATAAATACTTTTAAAAAAAATAGTGTTTGAAAGCTCTCCACCATTACCTTTTACCACCACCACTACCTCTACCAACACCACACCACCGCCGTCGCCACAGCCACCACCATTGTTGTCGCCGCCACCACCATCACGGTCATTGCCACCCACTACAACCATCACTGTCTCCTACCACCACCCATTACAACCATCACCGTCTCCTACCATCACCATCGTCGTCCACCACCTCTCACCCCTACAACTAATGCTTAAATTCATTTATCTTTCCTCTATGTTTGTGATTTGATTTTAGATATAAATACAAATATGTTTATTATTTTTTATTTTTTATTACTCTGTGCCTTCAGGTATAGGCAATAACTAGTATATAATAAAGTAACTTATAATTCAAATCTCAAAAGATAAACAAAATAATTTTTGTTTTTCATAGTCTAGATCGTTTCTAAATTTGTCTAAATCTAATTTAAGGGTTGATATTAACCTAAAAATTTTGAGATTCCCGCCCAATCTCTTCGTCACACATTCACGTGTTCTCTCACACACTCACTCAAATTAATATTCTCTCAACTTTTCAGAACTCTAGCAAACTCCTCCTCTCCAGAACACATTCTCTTTATCTTCAGAACTCTCTCTCTCACATTCAAATCTATAACTTTCTCCGGCGACATCCTTTTCTCTCATCTCTCACGTCCACACTCTCTGCTCAAATTCACTCAGACAGCTCCAAAATCTCTCTGTTCGAGTCTACCTCGGGCAACTCCAAAGTCTCTGGCTACTTCAATTGTTTCTCAAATAGTTCGACTCTCTTTCTCTCTCTTTGAGCTCCAACGACACACCCCTGACCTAGATCCACATCAAGGTAATCAAACTCAGCAAGACAATCAAACTCAGTTGGGCATGAACAATCGAATGTAAGTCTATGATCTCTCTCTCCATTCTAGATATATGGATTTTAATTTGCCCCAAATCTAGCCCTAGATCGATCTCTCAAATTGCCTCCCATTTTAGCCCTAAATCGATCTCTCACTCAGCCACTTGGAGTCTCGAACTCAGCAAGGCAATCGAACTCAGCTGGACATGAACAATTGAATGTAAGTATTCTCTTCTCTCTCTTTGATACCCGGTCTCTCTCTCTCTCAGCCAAGAATGTAGGATTTAACGATTATAAAATCCTAATAAAAATACTCTCAATTAAAATGTCCCCCCAATTGTTCATTTAAATAATTATGTTTAAGTGATTTATTGCATTGTATATAAAAAAATATTATATAAATACCTATATTCTATTGGACATTCAAATAGTAAGCTTGATTTTGAATTTTAGAGTATATTGGACCCACAAAATAAAGAATAATGTGAAATTATAATTTTTTATTATGATAAAATCATTTTTTTAACGGTTATAGTAATAAATATCAACTAAAAAGGGTTACGTGTTACACGTGCACAAACGCCATGAGATGTAAGAGTAATATTTTATATGTGAAGAGATTCAAATGATTAAGTGACAGACATGAGGGGATCTAGGTATGATTTATCAATTGAATTTTAGGCAGCAAACTGACGGCGATTAGTTTTAAGTACACATTGATACAAATTTCTATCTTTGAGGGTACAAATTGAGATTTTTAATTTTTGGGGGCACATTAATACAAATGTATATCTTTGAGGGTGTAAATTGAGATTTTTTATCTTTAAGAGTGCACATTGATATAAATTTTCATTTTTGAGGGTACAAATTAAAATCTTTGATCTTTGAAGATAAAAATTAAAATTTGATCGATCTTTCGATATGCAATTTACGATTAACCCTTTAGACTATCTCCTTGAGGCAAGTTCTTACTTGTTTCCACGGACTTTACTAGAAGTACTGCCCTTAATATTTACACTTATATAGTTGGATCTTGCAGATATCTGATCCCCCCACCCACTAAGTTCAATAAATGACCCCCAAAAAAAAAAAAAAAAATTTGATCCAATTTGACAAAACTTTGAAAACGTGAAAGTATCATATCCCATACACTTTCACAGGCAAGATGTAATTATATTCTTATTGGGATTGACGGAAATCTCTCCATTTTTAAGCAATTGTTTGAAATGGATTCGAAACTTTAATTTATGACTTTTTGGATGAAAGCAAAAAAAATTTTACTTGATAAAGATGAAGCTAAAACTGATAAAAGAAAATTATTTTATTAATCAAATGAAAGGATTTTGATTATAAAAGACTGAATAAACAACTTTAATTATAATACTAACTATTCTTAAAACTACTCTTAATGATGCCTTAATCATGGGTCTTATGGGCATTAAAATGTCTTTTTATAGCCATCTTTTTCAATGATTTTACTCCCAACGATGTTTAACTAATGACAACTCCTAGTTTATTACTTTCTTTTTTCAAATGTAACCGTAATTGATCATCTCCCACCTTTTTAAAAATTCTATCACGTGGCATTTTCCTCAACAGATCTCAAGATGTCAGGTATCAATGCATGAATATTCCTAACATCATTTTTATTTGATTACTGCTAATTTGTCTAATTAACATCATATATTATTGGAAAAATACTAGGATACTCAAATTTACAATCCAAGTGAATTAAATTATGATCTAATTTCGATTGATTTTAAATTGTGGCATTGTTATGATCCACACAAATAAATCGAGGATGTTTTTTTTTGTACAGTGTTTAGGGTATACATTGTGTGTAATAATATCTTGGTTAATCTTAACTTGTACCTTAAAAGATCACTCAAATTTTAATTTACACTCTCAAAGTTTAAAATTATAAATTTACACCTTAAAAGATATAAATTTATATCAATGTGCACTTGAGACTAATTATGTCTATTTTTTTGTTAAAAAAGTTTGGATTAATTATAAATTATATCCTTCAAGTTTAAATATTATACATTTATGATCTAAAATTTTTTTTATCCATTAATGCTCGTTAAATAACTCTTAATTGTATCGTATCATAACATCTTCGTGTCGTATTTGAGTCAACAAAAAATATTTTTCAAAATTTTAAAAAAAATATATAAAATACCTATTTTTTGCCTACAATATTCATTAAATAAGTATTTTGTGTCTATAATTAAACACAAAATCTTTTGATTGTCTGATCACATTAAAATTAGATACAAATAATACAACTACAAACAAAAAATAATTATTTAACAAGTATCATCGACAAAAAATTGGTATTTTTAATTTTTTAAAAATATTAAATAGTATTATATAAATTCTCGTAAATGTGAATATAAGAAACCACTCGATACGAAAATATTTTTTATTAAAAATATTTTTTTATTGACCCAAATATAAAACAAAAATATTATGATATGATACAATTGAGAGTTATTTACCAAGCATTAATAGATGAAATTCTTTTTGAATCATAAATGTGAAATATTTAAATTTTGAGGGGTATAATTTATAATTAACTAAAAAATTTTTAATGACAAAATAGATAACAGTTAATCTCAAGTGTACATTGTATGTATTTATATCTTTCAAGATATAAATTAATATTTTTAAATTTTAAAGGTACGAAATAAAATTCAAATAGCAGTGGAGATTAGCCATAATATTTTATTCAAAGGTATCAATGACCACACGTTCTACGAGAGGAGGCCACTGATTTTACAAGTGCTCTCCTTAATATTGACACTTGTACAGTTGGATCTTCCGGATATCTGATTCCACCCCCGCTAATTTCAGTAAATGACAAACTTCTTTTTCTTTTTTAATTTTTTTGATCAAAAATGACAAACTTCAAAAACAACAAGTTCGAATCTTAGAGTTTATATTAGAGTTCGATCGTTGACCACTATGTTAATTAATTTAAGTTCGTACCCAATATGAGTAATGAACACAGTAAAAAATTTTACGATTCCACTAGTGATTTCTGAATACTCTCTTTTTCTTCCACCTTTTTTCCAAAAAAAAAATAAAAATTTGTGCCCAATACACCTTTACAGGCAAGATTGTGGGCTCAATATTCCCAAAGAAAATTATACAAGTATATTAATAAAATTAAACAACTCATTAGTCTCTGACCACGTACGATTTGATTGTGTTATGATTCTCCATAATGTGACCGTTAGTGGGGGTGGGGGCCGATATTTGCAGGCTCACTTCATTTTTTTAATTATTGGAGGAGTCTTTCCAATAACAAAATCCACTATACTTGTCATCAATTGTAGGATTGTGACAAGTGACAAGTGACATAAACAAAGTCTTTGTTTATAGAACGATAAAGAGAGTCAAGTCCTACTAAACTACTTATTATAGTTATTTGTAAAACTGTCATTCTAATTTTTATTATCGATCAATTATATTTTTTATAATTATAACTTACACTTTAAAAAAATTTAAATTGATCGATATAAATTTTGATATGATACCGTATTCAATATCATAATTTTCCAAAAGAGAAAAAAACATAAACGAAAAAGTGAGAACGAATGTATTATTTAAATAAGTGTTTGAATAATACGAACGAACAAATCAAATCAACCGTCCAACCCACGGTGACATTAAAAATAAGAGTAACATTATTAAGATTTAATTTATTGACATAATTTGTTGATCTAATTTACTGTAACTTTTGAATTTAATATAGATCCCATCAAACATTAGAACTTAGTATTAATCCAATGATTCATATGAAATCACGTCATTATGTCAAAAAATTATATCAAATTTTTATGTCTAAATAATATTACTCTAAAAATAATATGTAGTTAAGTGCAAAGTGTATTATTGTAGCACAAAGCGGGAGCATCATGAGAAACCTAGAAGCCTGTTTGGTTTGTGTTTCAAAAAATAGTATTCGAAAACAGTTTTTGAGAAGAGTTTTAAGAAAGTAGTTTTGATATTTTTTGAGATAAAAAACTTGTTTGGTTAGATGATTTCAAAAATAATTTTACAATACAGAAAATAGTAAAACCTGTTTAGACAGTCTAAATATATATATTTGAACAGTAATTCAAACAATAATAAAAAATTATTTTTATATTGACAATTTCATAATATATATATATATACTAATTATAACCCGTACCTGAAGGCACGATAAAATATAAAATTTGAGCATCTAAAAAATTAATCCCATTATATTAAATTTTTTTAAAATATATTAACTACAAATTAATTAAATATTAAATAATTAAATATATGATAGAAATGAATTGTGTGATATTTTTAGGGAAAAAATATATAAATGATTAAATATATGATAAAAATGAGTGATGTGATTTGACGTTTGAGTCTGACAAAGAGATGATATGTGAGGTAAGTGATTGATGATAATTTTGAGAGAAAAAATATGACTGAAATAGAATTCAAACATACTCCTATATATATATATATACTCATATCTGAATATTCAAAATTGTTCTCTTTTTTTCCAAAATTTTTAAAGAAAACTCTGAAAACAAGTTACACTTGTTTTTTGTTTCTTTGACTCAAATCTCATTTTTTCCCCAAAATTTAAAGAACAAAAATACTAAACAAACAGGTTTTAGATATTTTTAAAATTTTAAGAACAAAAAACAGTTTTCGAAAACAAAACCAAACATGACCCTAACTTTTTGAAATTTTGCAGTTACATTGTGATTCAAGATAATTTGAGACTTAAAACGAAATTATTAAATGAGA